CAGCTCATCCACATCAGAGCTCAGGATAGGGCGAGTAACAACCTCAGGGGAGGGGTACACTTTGCCACCTGCAAGGTCATTCCCCATGATGAACTCCACCCCATCGATGGGGAACTGGTCCCGCACGGCCACAGGGAATACTCCACTAACAAGATTCGACTCAACATGGACATTGTGCAGCGGTGCTGGCACATAGCTAAGGCCGATGCCTTTCACTATAGTGCTCACATGACAGTCAGTCCGCAAACCCAGAGGCAGGACACCAGAGAGAATGAAAGACTGTGAGCCACCAGTGTCACGTAAGACTTTAACAGCGCGCTTAGCCGCTCCTGGAACTCCTGGAACTGACACAAAAGCTTCAAAAATGAATGGCTTAAAACAGTCATCACACTCTGGGACAATTGGACCGGCAGGCTGCACATCCTGACCACCAGGGACAGTCCTAGTCAGCGCGACGCCTTTTGGTTTGGGCGCAGGCTGTTTGCGCTTCCAAGAGTCACAATCCGCCACCAGATGGCCGGGTTTGTGACAGAAGTAACACTGCTTAGCCTTCTCTGGCCTAGAACTAGCTGCAGGACTAACGTTGGGCCTCTCCTCAGACTTTGGATAGGGCTCACGCTTAAAGACAGCCTTGTGAGTGAGCGAAAACTCATCTGCCAAAATAGCTGCTTGTTGAAGAGAGCTCACTTTTTGTTCATTTAAATAAACAACAACACGCTCTGAGAGGCAGTTCTTAAACTCCTCTATGAGAAACAGCTCACGCAGAGACTCAAAAGTACTGGCCTTGCTCGCGGAGCACCATCTGTCAAATAACAGGCCCTTTTCACGCGCAAAATCCACATAACTCTGGCTGAATGACTTGCGGAGACCCCTAAATCGCTGTCTATAAGCTTCGGGCACCAGCTCATAGGCACGCAAAATAGCCCCCTTTAAACAGTCATAATTCAGACTGTCAGAGACAGACAAAGACGCACACGCTTCTGAGGCTTTTCCACTCAACTTGCACTGCAAAAGGATCGCCCACACGTCCCTAGGCCAGTGCAATGCCCCTGCAATGCGCTCAAACACTCCAAAATAAGACTCAACCTCCGTCTCACGGAAGGCTGGGACGAGCTGTATATTTTTAGTCACATCAAATGACTCGTGCGCACTGACAGGTGACAAGGGAGCTGGACCGCGACCCGCTGCATGCAATTCTAATTGCATGCAGTTTCAAGTGAAACTCTCGCTCCTCTTTTTCCCTCTCGTGCTTCAGACGAGCAATGCGCACATCCACGCGTACATCGCGAGGGGAGCGCAACCCTAAACCAGGAGATTTCTCCTCAGCCTCCTCAAACAGCGCCGCGGGAGAGCCCAGCTGCGGCTGCTCCACGCGCTCTCCACCAGGACGCACGGGGGACACCACTGCATCTCCCACTGCCGCTCCTGCCACTGGATCGCTTGACACAGGCAATACCACAACCCCGTTGGCCACCAACTCTGCCAGTATAGCCTCCCTCAGCTCACCCACGCGTAACGCAGGGGACACAGGGATTGCATAGTGTCACGCTATCTCCAGCAAATCTATTTTTCTACACAACTCCAACGCCACGTGCGTTGGCTCAGCCACGAATTCTTCCAAATCAAACGTAGCCATCACTCACCGGGCTGATCAGTTGATCCCACTCACAACTGGAACACCTGATGGCACTCTCCACTCGACCCGCCTCCTGGGATGTGCCAAGCACGCGCCCGCACACAGCTGCGCTCAAAGCTTACGCACACACACACTCACACTCGCACACGGGTGAAAAGAGGTTATGCAGGGTGCCTTAACAAAACTAAATCAGTGCAAACACAGGTATTGACCCAGACTCCTACTCAGGAAAAACTTAACCTAAGTTAGCCCAGAGATAGCCCAGAGAGAGCCAGAGAGAGACCAGAAAGAGAGATCAGAGATACCAGAGAGAGATACCAAAGAGATACCAGAGAGATACCAGATTCAGATTCAGATTCATTTATTTGCCATTTGCAGTAAAACCACATAGGAAAAACTGTGCAAGACTACCCCGGTGTGCACCAGACGACACACACCAGAGCTCTTGCCACGGCGCCATCTTTACGGCCCCATGCCAGAGAGAGAGAGACCAGAGAGAGAGACCAGAGAGAGAGACTAGAGAGATAGACCAGAGAGAGAGACCAGAGAGAGATACCATAAATACTAGAGAGATACCAGAGAGAAAGAGACCAGAGAGAGAAGGTAGAGAGCGAGACCAGAGAGCGAGACCAGAGAGCGAGACCAGAGAGCGAGACCAGAGAGCGAGACCAGAGAGCGAGACCAGAGAGCGAGACCAGAGAGCGAGACCAGAGAGCGAGACCAGAGAGCGAGACCAGAGAGCGAGACCAGAGAGATAGACCAGAGAGAGAGACAAGAGAGGCCTTTAACCAAATCTTTGCAGTCATTTCAAAAATCCCCTACTTTAGACCAGAGCAGAGGAAATGGTCCGAACCCAGCGGCTGCTCCACCTCTGCTGCTGTGACCTAAAGGGCTGTTTCTTTTGATTACTATTGTTAGCTTTTTATAATGTTCCATTTTATTTCTTTATTTTCACTGCTACTGGACACATTTTTCCTATGGGGATCAATAAAGTATCTATCCATATCTATGTTGTAGATACTATCCAATTCTTGCCCTACTGCACGACTAGCTGGATGCTAAACTGCATTTTGTTGCTATGTTCTGACTCTGAAATGACAATAAATGAATCTAATCCAAAACAAGTTGACAAATCTAAAATACATACCATTTACAAAGACTTTCCTTAATCTAGAAGCAAATTCTGTCAAACGTTTCGCTTGGTCTCAAATGTCTTCCGATCCCTGACTGGTTAACTAATAAAATATTCATTAAGACGTAGTCCGAGAGACAGAAATACACAACATTGATGATCCGCCAGCTATTAGTAATATTATCCTTTTCTATATTTGTGTTCTGTGTTCGTATAGTTTCCCGGAGCATGGTTTCTTTCAGGACAGGTACGTAATCCGATCCTCTCCATCCACTTGTACATGCGGCCTCCTTCACACATGACTCACTCTTCCATTCACAAACAATTACAGTAAGCCCCCCTGAGTCAACGCCATGTGTTAGACGTGATATAGCTAGAAAAAAAATCTATTAAAATCTATGAAATCCTCAGAATCCAGCATCACTACATCGAGCATCACTACATACACACTGATATGTCGCTCCTTCTGTCTTCATTATATTATATTATGTACAATAAATGTGGGTAACTATTACTGCTAGAAGTGTTTTTATTTTTGTTTTGGGAGTAGGTGAATTCTAAAGAAAAGCAGATTATATTCCATTAACTTTTCTTGTTTGGCGCAATGGGTGTAAAGAAAAAGTGTTTCTAATATCCATCCATCCATTTTCTTCCCCTTAATCCATTTCTGGGTAAGGGGGGTGGCAGTCAGAGCTCCACCCAGTACACAGAGCACCAGCCCCTCACTGATCCTCCTGCAGGTGGTGAGTCCACAGGAGCTGAGATCTTTCAGTGGGAGCTTTGGGCAAAGTAGGGTTAAGTGGACACAACGACAGCAGTCATCAGTGGGAGTCGTGAAGTAGGTCTTACGGTGGGCTTGAACCCACGACCTTCAGGCCCAAAGACCAATGCTCTACCAACTGAGCTACTGTCGCCCTGTGTGTTTCTAATATGGTATTTTAAAATTGCTTTGATCATGTCCAGATGTACTGTGCAAACACAAAGTAAATAGACAACATACAGATAAAGATAATTAAGCACTGCTGTTTATTAATTTATGAGAAAAATTTGTACAATTGAAGAGGTAGATTTAAACTTGACCTAACTAATCAATTATATGAAAGCCCTAATGCCAATCAAACCAGAAAGTTTGAATGTTATTGTTCTACATTATCGGTGGTGAGTGGATTTCCTTATTTTTGACTAATGTTTGAGGCAGCTCTCGTCACTCAAATGTCCAAATATCGAAAAATGTATTGTAATAAATTGGTGATGGAATCCTTTGAATAAATACAATTACAAACAAAATCAGCTGTAGATTGTGGCCATAGATATCAGAAATCTGTCCCTAAAGAGATAATCCTCCATATGCTAGTACTAGAGGGAGTAATATAGATAGACAACACAATTCTGAAACCGCGTGGCGCCAACTACTACGTAATCTGGCGTAACTGATGCATTAGGCGCGAAAAATCATGTTTTGTTAGTTTCAACTTGACCCAAACCTACCATACAATCTTCATTATCGTCAGAAAACGTTTAGAAGAACAGACAACGTACAAATAGGTCTATAAATGTAGACAAGGTTTTCCATGTAGAAAATATATATAGAAATTGGTGCTTCACAAATGGCTTAACAAGTTAGTAATACTAAAATACCATTGGCAAAGAATATCCTAGTTGTAGGCTTAACAACAACTAATATGATTAAAAAAGGAGCGAATTATAAGCAATAATATGTGAACACATTACTCTCTGTGTATAAGATAAGATGATATATGGGATGTGACAAATAAAAAGTGTGTATATAAATCATTGGGATAACACCAGAGCAGGTGGTGGCTGTATTAGTTTAGTGAATGTATAGCTTTTTTTTACATATAGGAGGATTTTCTACTTCCGGGTGGATCATGAAAACTATTGATTAAACTAATTGTCAATCATTCTGGTGATACTCGTCAAGTAAGACCAGGGAGTTTAATTCATAAAGTGGATTTGCCCAAATGTCCTAAAATGAGTGAAAATCCTCCTATACTCTTTGAATGCGTGCGTCATTAGTGCTGTTTGTTTACGTAATTTGCGTAAGGTATGACAGCGGAACGTCTGTGTAGAGTGGTGGAGAATAGAGTGGACACTGGACAGAGCATCCCTGCCTGTAATCTATCATAGCCGCAATAACATAGCACCTGGACGGCAGCAGTAGCAGCACAGACACGGTGTTAGCTAACCTGTCAGACCCGACCAGGGGCTCACCTCGGTGTGGGGGGAGAAGGCCAAAACAAAGCGTAGTCCTCGGTCACAGGAGAGGCATGGTGCGTGGGTCTGGGACAGAGACAGTCCGCGGTGAGGAGAGATGCGATAGTGAATGATTAGCTCTGGGGATGGTCGTTACACACGTGGCGGGAAACGTCCAAACACAAGAGAGCAGAGGAGAGCGCGAGGCTGACGCTCACGTACAGTCTGTGACGTCATGGCGTAAAGGAGGCTATGCAGGCGAGGGATGTGCGAACGACTGTGGAAAGAGAGCGTTATTCAAATAAAACGTTCCATGGTAACGACCTCGCCTCAGGGATAGTGATGTGGTAGTTCTAAACTCTAGTTATCCTGTCAGACTTATGAAGCTAAGCAGTACTGGGCCTGGTTAGTGCATCACGGGGGACCTCTGGGAACACCAGCGGCTGCGTCTGTAAAGTGCCAAACTCTATTTGTGTCTTTAGGATAGACACTTCACCCACATTACCTAGAATGAGGCGCGCGCGTGTGTGTGAGATGGTACATACTGGTTGTGGCTACAGTAGTTGAATGAATAATAACATGTGAAGTGTCTTTGAGTGCCTTAAAAAACCCATGCATTATTACTATACATTGTTTTAGTAAAAGAGTGTCCTATTGGTTATGTCGTGCATGTGTACAATAATGTCTAATAATGTCTGAATGTGCAATATAGAACCACAAGTGTCCACCATTTATTTTGCAAGGAATAATGCAGATGGCTTGCCAGTCTGTGACGGTCTCTGACTGTTCAGTTAGTATGGAGCGCCCTCTGCTGTCTTCTTAGGGACATGAAGGCGAAAGACCTGATGTTGGAAACCGTCTGAAGACAGAATGTTTTTATGAAGCCTATAAACGTGTGAATAGAATATATTCTATTATCATAGGATGCATTTTTGTGTGATTCCTTTGGATCTAATCTAATTTTGTTTTGTGGATTTTGTTGGATTAGTGTCATATATGTGCATACTTGTCACTCTCTGTAGCTCTCACTAAAAAGGCAGCAGGCTTCAAAGACGTTTGAAAAGTAGCGGCTTATAATCCAGAAATTTTGGCATATCCTAATGGAATCCATGAAAACCCATAAAATCAAAACCAATACTCAGGAAGTAGCGCTGTGACTTTTTCAATCATCACTTTATAAAACATCACTGAACTCTGACCTTAGGACCGTCACTTTATGCTACTGTAACTTTACTGCACTCTACCACACTTAAGGGTCTATCATGTGCATCTGGTGAATCTGGTATATTTTTATTTATGCCTGCCTTCTTGATTTTATTCTGATTAAACTTGTTTGCACTGAGACCCAAAGCAATTTGTGACTTCCTGTTACTCACATGGCAATAAACATGATTCTGATTCATCGCTCGTAGCAATACTGCTACGAGCGATGGAATACATGGAATATTGTGATACATTTTACCGTCTATAGTTACACTTCTCTGGCTGTCACTTTCAAGGTTGATTCTGACGCTTGTTTTTAAATGTTTAAATGGTTTGGCCGTTATAAATCTGACAGAGCTGTTATGTATCTCGCTCTGGTATCTCTCTCTCTTTCTGGTCTCCCTCTAGTCTCCATATGGTCTCTCACTTTCTGCTCTTTCCCTCTGATTTCTCTCTGGTCTCTCTTTCTCTTTCTGGTCTCTTTCCATGTTCTCTGGTCTCTCACTCCTCTCTCTTTCTGGTCTCTCTGTTCTCTCTCTGGTCTTTCTTTCTGGTCTCTTTCCATAGTCTCTCTGGTCTCTCTCCATGGTCTCTTTCTGGTCTCTCTGCTCTCTTTCTGGTCTCTCTGTTCTCTCCCAGGTCTCTTTCTGGTCTCTCACTCTCTTCCTGGTCTCTCTCTGGGATTTCTATGGTCTCTCTCTGCTCTCTTTCTGGTCTCTCTGCTCTCTTTCTGGTCTCTATGGTCTCTCTATGGTCTCTCTGCTCCCTTTCTGGTCTTTCTCTCTGGTCTCTGACGGAGCTGTTATACACATACTGTTATATACTGTTATACACAACCGAAACAGTGAGGATGTGTAAAGGGCTAAAATGTTTAGAAATTAGTTTAGAGAGGTATGAAGTTAAAATTGTCACATTTGTGAAACATGTTTATAGTGTTTGGGGCCCTGCCTTTGATGATCTCCTGAAAACACCAAACTAAAGGTTGTGTTGGCTTTGAGCACCGACACGTTGCGGTGGTCACGGCCTATATTCTGTGGGTGAGAGTTGTGCGTCAGTGGCTGGATTTCCTGTTTGTTTAAGTTCTACCAAAAAAGCAGACCCTCCAAATGTGGACCGCTGCATGTGGACCGCTGCATGTGGCCACTTCCTGCTGCTCGAGTCTAAGACCAAAGGGACATTTGCAACCTGCAGATATACGACAAGATTCCAGATTTTCCAATTGCAGTAAAATGGGTGATGTGTCTGCATGTAAAAAAATAAATAAAATGCAACAAAAAGAATACATAAACTAAAGAAATACAAAACATACAAATATTAAAAGATAAATACATTAAATAAATAACATTGATTAAATAAATATTGAAAAAATATGTTCAAATTAATTAAATAAATAATTAAATAAAAATGCATTTAATCAATATATTCAATAAATACATAAAATAACTATTCATCATCTATTTTTGACTTATCTCTTTGATTTTACAACATAAATGAATCGCTAGTACCCACCAGAGCTCAAAAGAGTTAAATAAAGTGCTAAATTTTGTACCCTAACCCTAACTGTACTATACTTACTTCTTGCTTTCTTAACCCAACCTAAAAGACGCATTTTTTGCATTTGCGAGCTCTCCACAGTTTATTCCGAGCACTTAAAATTAAAACATCCATCCATCCATCCATTTTCTTCCGCTTTATCCGTTGCCGGGTCGCGGGGGCAGCAGTCTAAGCAGAGACGCCCAGACTTCCCTATCCACACACACTTCCTCCAGCTCGTCTGGGGGGGGGGACCCCAAGGCGTTCCCAGGCCAGCTGAGAGACATAGTCCCTCCAGCGTGTCCTAGGTCTTCCGCGGGGCCTCCTCCCGGTGGGACGTGCCCGGAACACCTCCCTAGGGAGGCGTCCAGGAGGCATCCGGAACAGATGCCCGAGCCACCTCAACTGGTTCCTCTCGACGTGGAGAAGCAGCGGCTCTACTCCGAGCTCCTCCCGTGTGACTGAGCTCCTCACCCTATCTCTAAGGGAGCGCCCAGCCACTCTGCGGAGGAAGCTCATTTCGACCGCTTGTATCCGCGATCTCGTTCTTTCGGTCATTACCCAAAGCTCATGACCATAGGTGAGGGAGGGAACGAAGATTGACCGGTAAATCGAGAGCTTTGCCTTTCGGCTCAGCTCCCTCTTTACCACAACGGTCCGATACAGCGACCGCATCACTGCGCACGCTGCACCGATCCGCCTGTCAATCTCACGCTCCATTCTTCCCTCACTCGTGAACAAGACCCCGAGATACTTGAACTCCTCCACTTGAGGAAGGACCTCTCCACCCACCTGAAGAGGGCAGGGCACCTTTTTCCGGTCGAGCACCATGGCCTCAGATTTGGAGGTGCTGATTCTCATCCCAGCCGCTTCACACTCGGCTGCAAACCGTCCCAGTGCATGCTGCAGGTCCTGGTTCGTTGGAGCCAACAGGACAACATCGTCCGCAAACAGCAGAGATGAAATCCTGTGGTCCCCGAACCGGACCCCCTCCGACCCCTGGCAGCGCCTAGATATTCTGTCCATAAATACAGTGAACAGAACCGGTGACAAAGGGCAGCCCTGTCGGAGGCCAACATTCACAGGGAACAGGTCTGACTTACTGCCGGCAATGCGAACACAGCTCTGGCTCTGGTCATACAGGGACCGGATGGCCCTCAGCAGAGGACCCCCGACCCCGTACTCCCGGAGAACCCCCCAAAGGACACCCCGGGGAACACAGTCGAACGCCTTCTCCAAATCCACAAAGCACATGTGGACAGGTTGGGCGAACTCCCATGAACCCTCGAGTATCCGATGGAGAGTATAGAGCTGGTCCAGTGTTCCGCGACCGGGACGAAAACCACACTGCTCCTCCTGGATCCGAGATTCGACCATCGGCCGTAGCCTCCTCTCCAGTACCTTGGAGTAGACCTTACCGGGGAGGCTGAGGAGTGTGATCCCACGATAATTGGAACACACCCTCCGGTCCCCCTTCTTGTAGAGAGGGACCACCACCCCGGTCTGCCACTCCATTGGCACCGCCCCCGATCGCCACGCGATGTTGCAGAGACGTGTCAGCCAAGACAGTCCTACAACATCCAGAGACTTTAGATAATCAGGGCGGATCTCATCCACACCCGGAGCCTTGCCACCATGGAGGCTACCAACCACCTTGGTGACCTCAGCCAGGGAGATGGATGTATCCGCCCCAACATCCTCAGCCTCTGCCTCTGAAACAGAGGACATGACGGGGGGATTGAGGAGAACCTCAAAGTATTCCTTCCACCGCCCGACAATATCCCCCGTCGAGGTCAGCAGCTCTCCACCCGCACCGTACATGGTGTTGGCAAAGAACTGCTTCCCCCTCCTGAGGCGCCGGACGGTTTGCCAGAATCTCTTTGAGGCCGACCGATAGTCATGCTCCATGGACTCTCCGAACTCCTCCCATTCCCGGGTTTTTGCCTCTGCAACAGCCCGGGCCGCGGCACGCTTGGCCTGCCGGTACTGGACAGCTGCCTCAGGAGTCCCCCGAACCATCATGGCTCGATAGGACTCCTTCTTCAGCCTGACAGCATCCCTTACTGCCGGTGTCCACCACCGGGTTCGGGGGTTGCCGCCGGGACCGCACCAGAGACCTTGCGACCACAGCTACGAGCCGCCGCATCGGCGATTGAGGCAGAGAACATGGTCCACTCGGACTCCATGTCCCCCTCCTCCACCGGGACCTGGGAGAAGCTCTCCCGGAGGTGTGAGTTGAAAGTCCGTCTGACAGGGGGCTCAGCGAGACGTTCCCAGCAGACCCTCACTATACGCTTGGGTCTGCCAGGTCTGACCGGCTTCTTCCCCTGCCAGCGGATCCAACTCACGACCAGGTGATGATCGGTTGACAGCTCCGCCCCTCTCTTTACCCGAGTGTCCGAGACACGCTGTCGAAGGTCAGATGATACGACAACAAAGTCGATCATCGACCTCCGGCCTAGGGTGTCCTGGTGCCACGTGCACTGGTGGACACCCTTGTGCTCGAACATGGTGTTCGTGATGGACAAACTGTGACTGGCACAGAAGTCCAACAACTGAACACCGCTCGGGTTCAGATCAGGGGGGCCGCTCTTCCCGATCACCCCTCTCCAAGTGTCACTGGCATTTCCCACATGGGCGTTGAAGTCCCCCAGGAGAATAACGGAGTCCCCGGGCGGTGCACTGTCCAGTACCCCTCCCAAGGACTCCAAGAAGGCCGGGTACTCTGCACTGCCGTTAGGCCCGTAGGCCGTCACAACAGTGAGAGGCTTGTCCCCCACCCGGAGGCGGAGGGACGCGACCCTCTCATTCACCGGGGAGAACTCCAACACGTGGCGGCTGAGATGGGGGGCAATGAGAATGGCCACCCCAGCTCGCCGCCTCTCCCTGCGGGAAACACCAGAAAAGTGGAGCGTCCAACCCCTCTCAAGGAGTTGGGTTCCAGAGCCCAAGCTGTGTGTGGAGGTGAGGCCGACTATCTCTAGTCGGTATCGCTCAACCTCCCCCACAAGCTCGGGCTCCTTCCCCCCCAGTGAGGTGACGTTCCACGTCCCAAGAGCCAGCTGTTGTGTGTGCGGACTGGGTCGTCGAGGTCTCCGCCTTCGACTGCTGCCCAGTCCTCTCTGCACCATGCCACCACGGACCCCTCTGCGAGTGGTGGGCCCACAGGAGGGACTGCCCACGTCGTCCATTCGGGCTGAGCCCGGCCGGGCCCCGTGGGCTAAGGCCCGGCCACCAGGCGCTCGCCTACGAGCCCCGACCCCAGGCCTGGCTCCAGGGTGGGGCCCCGGCTGCGCCATGCCGGGCGACGTCACTGGTTTCGTTAGAGTGCTGTCCATGGTGTCTTCTGGACTGCGCTTCGTCTGACTCGTCACCTGAGACCTGTCTGCCATGGGAGGCCCTACCAGGGGCATGAAGCCCCAGACAGCATAGCTCCCAGGATCATCCGAGTACTCAAACTCCCCCACCACGTTAAGGTGGCAGCCCAGGGGGGCTGCCACCTTAACTTAATTAAAACAATGTTGTATAACTTCAAGGTGCAAATATTGGCTAAAGCTACTTGCATAAATGATACAGACGTTCTTAAAACAGCAAAGTCTCAGATTGGCTGTTGGCTAGCAAGGGCTAAAGTGTGACCAAAGATCGTTTTTCAATTTCTAATACTTAAAATGCCAGCGTAAAATTGTGTTTAACGAGCAAACAATCAAGACATTTATTCATGAACATTGGATTAAGTCTTTATTGGCAATTCTGTATCTTCATAGTTTGATTTATTTCATTTATTGAGTTTCTTTTCAGAATCTGTGTTACACAGAGGATCCAACAATTCCAAAGGGGAAACAAGCAGATCATATTTCTGCTGTTTATATTGTGATATTTTCCAATGGACAGACATGACAGCGGTTTCCACGGTAACGGTTTCCACGGTTACGGTTTCTGTGGTTACGGTTTCTGTGGGACCCACTTCCAAACAGCGATGTCTCAAGGTTCTGGAACTTCATGGATTGACCTGGAGGGAAGTATTCGGCAGTGGGACTTTAACCCCAGTGCCTTTTTACAAACTCTAAAGCTAACTCTAACCCGCGAGAGGCTTTTAAGAAGCTGATTCTCTACATGCGGTAATGTAACAGAGTTAGACATATGTATATAGAGAAGACTCCCATTCCCACTTAGCGGTATATTATATACACTTTAAACACAAACAGGATGTGGAGGAATAATAATAGACAACAGGGACATGAGTTTGCTTGTAGCGCACGTTTAGCCAATTACCGGGAAAAGAATGAGGAGTTACAGAAGTATATTAATCAGAGAGAATGGGGGATGGAGCAGGACCTCCACCACTTCAGAGAAGAGTTCAGAGAGGCCTTTCTGAGAAGTAACAAGAAAGAAATGCGCGTCAGAAGGTTAACATGACCAGTCAGATTGAAGACCTGCAGAAGGAGGCTAAGCAGAGAAGGATTGAGTCAAACCGGGCGCGCAGACAGTTTTTGTTGGAGTTACGGCAAGCTCAAGACGCGAAAGATCAGGAGCTCAACGCTCTGAGAGAATTGATTGTGGACAATGCCACAAAGAACACGTCGACTGCCGAAGTCGAGACGCAGACTGACGTTAGTCCTGAGCTGCTCCAGCTGCAGCTGAGTGCGGCCAGAGACAAGTACTTGATCCGAACACCGTCCGAAGAGACCACTACGAGAAGTGCCGAGCAGGAGGGTCTTCGTGAGCAGCTCAAACGAGCTCAAGAAGAACTCAAGGTTCGAGATGAACAGATCCAGGCGCTGCAGAAAGCCAAGGATCAGACCGTAATTGAGGTCAAAGATCAGTTAGAAGTCGCCACAACCAGAATGAGGCGTTTAAGGGGTTTGGTGCGAGAGCAAGAGGCGCAGTGGAAGTAGTAGTAAGTAATCTTTATTTATATACCGCCTTTTCACTGCAGATCTGAGTCTCAAAGCGGTTTACAATTGTTAATTTTGGGCATTTGTCTCTCACTCCACACAGAGATGGAAGCGGGGGCGCCAGTACAGGAGGCGCATGCTAGAACTATTGGACATATTTTTAGTGGTAGGGGAAACCGGAGTACCCGGAGGAAACCTACACAGACACAGGGAGAACATGCAAACTCCACTCAGAAAGGCCCTGGTCTGACCGGGATTCGAACCCAGGACCTTCTTGCTGAGAGGCGAGAGTGCTATCCACTCTGCCACCGTGCCACTCTGCCACTGTTGGAAGGAATCCAACAGAAGCCTCAAAGAAGAGCTCAGACAGATGCAGCTCCAGTTACAAGACAAAGATCGTCAGCCAAGGACTGTGATGGAGGTTAACGAGTCCATGACCCTCGACATCAAAACGTTCAAAGACGATCTGACTTGCCTTAAACAGGAGATTCATCAGTTTATGAAGGAGCCTGTTCAGTTAGAGACAGAGACCGAGGCCAAGGTGGAGACCGGGGTGGAGGCCGAGGTGGAGGCCGAGGTGGAGGCCGAGGAAGAGACCAAGGTGGAGGCCGAGGTGGACGTGGAGGTGGAGGAGAAATAGACCGAAATAGCGATAGAAGCCATAGTTAGACGGGTGCGCAGGGTGCTAGGTCTGAACGTTAGGAGCCTGGTCCAACTGTTTGCTCAGAAAGACCAGGATGTTTAGGAGGAGGAACAACGCGCTAAAGAACTACAGGAGAAGACGAAACAAAAGGCTGCAAACTTCAGGTGGAGTCGCGAGTAAGTGAATCCCTTCGGGCGACACAGTGGCCGAGTGGTTAGCACTCGTGCTTCTCAGCAAGAAGGTCCTGGATTCAAATCCTGGTACGAACAGGGCCTTTCTGAGTAGAGTTTTCATGTTCTCCCCGTGTCTGCTCCGGTTTCCTCCGGGTGCTCCGGTTTCCCCTACCACTAAAAAAATTGACATTAGCTCTTCTCTCTGAGAGGCCAGGACTCCCCTGAAAAAGAGATTCTGAAATCTCAGTGGGACGTTCCTGGAAAAAAAATATTAACTTAAAAAATAAAAAAACTTAAAAGTGAGCATTCCATTGGCTGAGTGCATCAGCCATGACCTGGCAACCCGCTCCGGTTGGGTTTGGGTTGTCCACAATAAGCTTTAAGCTGCAAAAGCAGCAGAATGTACTGGAGAGTTTGTTCGGCTGTTTGTGCGTCTGGAGCTTTGAGGCGGCAACACAAACACCTGCAGATGTTGCTTTGCTGATTCTGCACAAAATGGCCTCCAACGAGTCTGGGTCTCAATCTAGACCATGTTGGAGATCAGGGAGGTCCGGCAGGTTTAGAAGGAGCTGTGTGGCTGAGGTCTCAGTCCGACAGAGCAGGACCAGACTCCTCATGGCCCCAGGTCCAGGCTCGACCTGAAGACCTGATGAAATGAGTGTAGTCCTGTTTGGTTGGAAGGAAAACCTCAGTGGGACCTCTGTAGAACCAGTCAGTCTTCCTGGTGTAGGTCATTAAGGGCAAAACGACAGCCTCAGTTAGCTCGTTTGCGTTTGGCAGATTGGTTCTGGCGTGTGAGCTGTAAGAATGTTCCAATCCGTGTCGTTAGGATTAGGGTTAGGGAAATTAGGTTTAAACAGTGTCATAGACTCAGTAAGAAACTATGAGGCTGTTTTTGGCTTTAGACTCGACAACAATGACTGTACTAATGCATTTGTGGAAGACGGCCTTCTCTGGACTTTGGCTCCAGTAATAACTGAAATAATAAAAGTCTTTCACAACCATTAAACTTTTACTCTTCTACAAAGTGCCTCTCTCTGGTCTCTCTTTCTCTGTGGTTTCTGTCCCTGGGCTCTATCTCTCTGGTCTCTCTCTGGTCTCTCTCTCTCTCTCTGGTCTCTCTGTCTTGTCCCAAGGAGGTAACATTTCAAATCTTTGTCCTATTAGATGATTATTAAAGAATCATTAAAGGATTATTAAAGAATCATTAAAGGATTATTAAAGGATTCTGCTTTTTATTAAGCTTTTGTTATTGCATCGACGGGGTGGAGATAAGGCGGCAAAGTGGCTGAGTAGTTAGCACTCTCGCTTCTCACCAAGAAGATCTTGGGTTCTAATCCTGGTTGGAACAGGGTATTTCTAGAGTTTGCATGTTCTCCCTGTGTCTGCACAGGTTTCTTCCGGGTCCTCCGGTTTCCCCTACCACTAAAAACATGCACATATGGTAAAATGAGGTGAAGCTATTTTCTCTCGCCTGTATTACAGACAAGACGGAAGCGTGTATTAGATGCAATCTATAAACAACACTTGTGAAAGTTTCAATGCACAGTCGAAGATGCAGCGCTGTATGGAAAGCCTTGTGTTTCTGTCTGTTCTGTTCCCTTCACCAGCATCAGGTAAGATGTTTACCATTTGAAGAAGACAAAGAGATCTGTGTCAGTTCTAAGGAATCAGAATCAGAATCCTTTTATTGCCATGTGGGTAACAGGAAGTCACAAACCAGGAAATGTCTTTGCCTCTCGGTGCAACAGTTAGAAAGGGCGGCACGGTGGCTGAGTGGATAGCACTCTCGCCTCTCAGCAAGAAGGTCCTGGGTTTGAATCCTGGTCAGAACAGGGCCTTTCTGAGTGGAGTTTGCATGTTCTCCCTGTGTCTGTGTAGGTTTCCTCTGGGTACTCTGGTTTCCCCTATCACTAAAAACATGTGCAATAGTTCAGGGTGGGTGAGTGAGTGTGTGTTTGTGAGTGTGAATGTGGGACAACAGATGCAAATTAACCCATGGCTACAACCTGGAGTGATGTGTTCATTAACATGTACTATCCCAACCAAATAAATAAAAATAAAAAAGAGAGGTAAGAATAGAGAAAGGCATAAATAAAACTCTACATACATGTCTTCGGTTCACCATATACACACACACACTGAGTGTGGTAGAGTGCAGTAAAGTGACAGTCATAATGTCAGAGGTGGATTATAAAGTGTTAATGAGTCCAACAGCAGAGGGGAAGAAACTGTTCCTATGGCAGGAGGTTCTAGTCCTGATGGACCACAGTCTCCTGCCTGAGGGGAGTGGTTGGAATAGTCCATGTGCAGGGTGAGAGGGGTCGGCTGTGATACGACCAGCCCGGCCTCGAGCTCGGGCGACGTACAGGTCCTGCAGCGATGGAAGGCTGCGGCCGATCACTTCCTCTGCAGAGCGCACAATGCGCTGTAGTCTCTGTTTGTCCCTGACTGTGGCTCCAGCGAACCACACGGTGATGATCAAATGATTGGGGATGTTTTGTGCTGTGAGCTTTATTATCATAACTGTAAATCATCACATGAATAATTATGTACAGCTGGTGTAGAAGCATTTACAGCGACTTATCACTGTGTTTTGTGTGCTCCTTGTGTGTTTGTAGTGTATTAAATGTTTAAGCAATTGCTGACTCTATACTGACTTTCTCTGAAGACTGACTTTACATGTAGCAGAATAATAGCAACCGGACACTCATGTTAGAGAATGTACTGCATATGACAACCACAACCTTAAAAATATAACACAAAGTGCTTTACAGTTTAGTTAAAAACAATCCAATATGCCCCAGCCCTAAACCCCACCTCCCCACAGACCCCCCCCAAAAACCACATTTATTATTATATATACACCCACATGCGTATACACACACAGACACACACACACACACACACATATATAGGCAAGGCAAGGCAAGTTTATCTATATAGCACAATTCATACACAAGGCAATTCAAAGTGCTGAACAAAACAAGAAAGCATTAAAATCATAGATAATCACAGAACATTAAAAGAAAGATATAAAAATATAAAATCCCTCAGTTGTATGCACAGCTAAACAGAACTGTCTTTAACCTGGTTTTAAACATTGTCAGAGAGGAGGCCTGTCTCACATCTTCAGGAAGACTGTTCCAGATTTTAGCAGCATGAATCTGAAAAGCTGCCTCCCCATGTTTAGTTCTGACTCTGGGCACTAACAGGAGTCCAGTCCCTGTGCTCCTCAGAGTCCGGGCTGGTTCATATGGTACTAACATGTCACTAATATATTTTGGTGCGAGGCCATGGAGAGATTTGTACACAAGCAGAGCTGTTTTAAAGTCTATTCTCTGAGCCACAGGAAGCCAGTGCAGAGACCTGAGGACTGGACTAATGTGGTCGTACTTCCTGGTTCTAGTCAGGACTCGAGCTGCTGCATTTTGAATGTACTGCAGCTGTTTTACAGCCTGTTTGGACAGACCTGTGAGCAGGCCATTGCAGTAGTCTAACCTACTGGAGACAAATGCATGGATAAGAATCTCCAAGTCTGCTTTAGACACTATGTTTTTGATCCTGGCAATGTTTTTTAGATGGTTAAAAGCTGCTGATGTTACTGATAATGTGGCTATTAAAATTTAAGTCTGAGTCTAGTATTACCCCTAGATTTCTGACCTTGTTTGAAGGTTTTAGGGAAAGAGACTGTAGGTGACAGATGACGCTCTCTCTTTGTTTTTGGGGACCAAAGACAATCATTTCAGTTTTGTCTGCGTTTAGCTGAAGGAAGTTGTTTTGCATCCACTCACTGATCTGTTGGATACAGTGAAGGAGTGAGTCCACTGGTCCATCTTCTCCTGCAGTCAGTGAACATAGATCTGAGTGTCGTCTGCATAGTTGTGATAGACACTTCGTTTCTGCGTATTAACTGACCTAACGGCAGCATGTAGAGATTGAACAAAAGTCCCAGATTGACCCCTATATACAAAGTCACATCAGTAAAATAGTGAAACAATACAAAGAAATAGGCTGGTGCAGATGTAACCGCTGAAGAACGCCCATCCAAGAGCCCTCTGCACCGGAGCTGGGTCTATTGTGCTGTGGGGTCTGGCTCTTGGACTTGGTGGGGGTCTGGGGCCTCCTCTCTCTTCTGGGTCCTGTGTCGTTTCCTGTGTCGTTCCCTGTGGCTGCAGGTGGCTCTTTTGCTCCTGGTGCAGATGGCTCCTTGGATGGCGCTTCTTCAGCCGGTTACATCTGCACCCAGCCCTATTTCTTTGTATTGTTTCACCTATTTTACCTGATGTGACTTTGTATATAGGGGTCAATCCTGGGACCTCTTCTGTTCAATCTCTACATGCTGCCGTTAGGTCAGTTAATACGCAGAAACGAAGTGTCCTATCACAACTATGCAGACGACACTCAGATCTATGTCTCACTGACTGCAGGAGAAGATGGACCAGTGGACTCACTCCTTCACTGTATCCAACAGATCAGTGAGTGGATGCAAAACAACTTCCTTCAGCTAAACGCAGACAAAACTGAAATGATTGTCTTTGGTCCCCAAAAACAAAGAGAGAGCGTCATCTGTCACCTACAGTCTCTTTCCCTAAAACCTTCAAACAAGGTCAGAAATCTAGGGTAATACTAGACTCAGACTTAAATTTTAATAGCCACATTATCAGTAACATCAGCAGCTTTTAACCATCTAAAAAACATTGCCAGATCAAAAACATAGTGTCTAAAGCAGACTTGGAGATTCTTATCCATGCATTTGTCTCCAGTAGGTTAGACTACTGCAATGGCCTGCTCACAGGTCTGTCCAAACAGGCTGTAAAACAG